TCTCTCAAATAAATAAAATCTTTAAAAATAAATAAATAAAAGTAAATCTTAAAGAAAATAAATGAAGAAATTAACCTTTAATAAAAGAATATGACTTGAAAGAATAGAAGGTATGAAAACAAACAGGGGCCTAACAAATTCCAACAAACCATCAAATACTATAGGATCCCTGATGGGGAAAATGTTGCAAATTGGAGCACTCTGGAAACAATGGCAGTGATTAAATTTACAGCAAGTGTTGTTGTTTTTTTTTTAAGATTTTATTTTATTTATTTATTTGTCAGAGAGAGAGAGAGCACAAGCAGGGGGAGTGGGAGAGGGAGAAGCAGGCTCCCCACTGAGCAAGGAGCCCAGTGCGGGACTCGATCCCAGGATCCTGGATCATGACCCGAGCTGAAGGCAGACGCTCAACCAACTGAGCCACCCAGGTGCCCCAAATTTACAGCAGCTTACAGTCAGACGGTGTGCAGGTTAGCGAGTCGTATGCCTGCTCCAAACCCACCCTCCTATATGCTGCTTTGTGATGCTCATGCTGAGTTGCTGAAAACCCATTCTCCTTTGCTCACTGGCTCTCTGTGAGGTTTTACCTGTAGGAGGCATGATGAGCCGCCTTCTGGCAGTGGGCGAAAGACTGCAACCAGAGTGAAGCACCATTGTGGGGGGCTTGGGAGGGGATGCAGACGGGAAGGAGGAAGTCTCATTCGACCTTACGGTTCCCTCTAGTGGGTTCTTTCTCCAGGCTCCTGAGGTCTGGCCCAGCTCCTCGAGGTAACACCAGCCTCTCCCCTTCCTTCTCCAGCTCCGATGGCACACATACCTTATAAAAATAAGGTGCTGATGTAATTTATGATGAATTCCTTTAGCCAAACACACCAGTTGGGTTTTAGATACTAACGTTGAAGTTGTGTTAGAGAAGTATTAGCTCTCTGAGTGCCTGCCTTTGTAAATTGCCACATGTTAGGCTTCATTTGAACTAAATGGAATGAAAGAGTGGATTTCATCAGTGGTCCGAGTGCTGGCATAGGAACGTAGCCCACCCTGCCAGCCCGGTGGGGATGAGAGCCCGCCCTGGCGATGGGCGTTTGTGGCAGATGCAGCATTAGCATCATCCCCTCGCCCCGTGACTCCCTTGGCCTCGGCTTCCACCTCCCTCCTTCTCGCTCATTCGGGTGCCCTGGCCTCATCGGTCCCGTAAGCCCTGACCCACTTCTCGTAGAGCGCAGAGCAGGTACACTTTATCAGCAGGGATCATCCTTCCCCTAGATACTTCTGTGCCTCTTCACCTCACTTCTTTCCGGCTTCCCACAGTCAGATCTTCCTGAATATTTTCTGTAAAGAATGGCGGTGAAATCCTACCCTGTCATTCTTAAATTGAAGCCTACTTCATTTCTCTTTGTGACACTTACCACATTTATTTTCTGCCTCCCTAGCTGGGAATGTAAGCCCCATTAGGGTAAGGAGTCTGTTTTGTTTGCTGTTACATTTCCAGCACCTGACAGCACATAGTAGGCCCCTAAAAAAATACTTGACAGAGTAATGAGTGAATTTAACAAGCAGGCACTAATTATGGTGCTGTGCCAGATCTCTATCCTCTGTGAACATGGAGTAAAAATGTGTGCACAAACACGATACTGACTTGCTTTCGAACTTTTGATGCTGGCTTTTTGCAAAAAGATTTATCCTACCCACCATTTTCTCCTTGAGGGTTTTTTTTTTTTTTTTTAAAGTCTGGACATTTTAGTCCTGGAAAGAGGACCAGATTTGAAGTCAAAGACATGGTTTCAGGGCGCCTGGGTGGCTCAGTCGGTTAAGCATCTGCCTTCGGCTCAGGTCATGATCCCAGGGTCCTGGGATCGAGTCCCGCATCGGGCTCCCTGCTCAGCGGGGAGTCTGCTTCTCCCTCTGACCCTCCCCCCTCTCATGCTCTCTCTCTATCTCATTCTCTCTCAAATAAATAAATAAAATCTTTAAAAAACAAAAAAGACATGGTTTCAAATCTTTACCATTACTAGGCCACTCCCAATAAATCCCTCAATCTCCCTGAACCTCGATTTTCTCACCTGCGCAGTGGGGCTAATACTTGTTTTGCTTGCCTCAGGCTTTATTGTAAAGATCAAATGAAAAAATGCATTTCTCTCCTTCCCACACTGTATTGGGGTCTGGATTCTTCTGGCAATTCCCTCCGGCCCCATCTTGTCTTGCAAGTTGAGACATTTGATCTTTGTCTTTCTGTCCAACCCTAAAGATCCACAAGGCATGGGTCCGCTACAGAGAGTGAACCCGACTTTGTCTTGCAAGTCTTCCCAACTGAAGAAAATTCACAGGAAGACAAGGCAGCCTCTTTTCCGTCCTACTCATAATTGCTAATACATAATTGCCTCAGTAACTTGATCGTCAGCCCTGGTAACAGATATCCCTCCCCTACACCTGTGAAGCTGATGGAACAGGACAGAGAAAACAGAATCCAACAGAAGAGAAAGGGTAGGTTTCTCTATAACGAGGCCTAGGATAAGGACATTATTGTCTGAAGGAAAGACATGATTGAAAGGTCCTGAAAACTGAGATAGCTCCATCTCAATCAACCTTACAAGCCTGAAAAAGAACAAAGAATCTCTTCCTTGCGTAATAATAACAGTGGAAAGCAAAATGAATCTGTTCATGGAGCATGCCAATGGGAATCTTGATATGCTTAGTAGACTCCTTCTGGGAACCTACAGGGAAAAAGGGTCAGTTGTAGCAACAAGATCCAGAGCTGTCCCAAGGAATCATGTCCCCAGTGATCATATTTCAGTGCCATCTTTCCTGTATGAGGTCAGACTGGGCGGTGAGACTGGATTCTGGTGTTTTTTATGAGCTGTCATTTGTCTTTATCCCTCCTTAGATCTCTGTTTTCCCTACTTTCGTGTCCACAATTTATAAACTGTCTGTGTAGTTTTAATGACTTGCTCGTTTTATTTAGCTTCCTTTTTCACTGTACTGATTGGTACTAAAAGATGCATGAGCCTTTCAAGCCCCGACGTCAGTGATGAGAATGAGTTCCAATGTCGATAGTCTGAAGCAAAGACACCTGTGGTAGAGGAAAATATTTTAGAGTTTGGTGTTTTTCTCCTGAGTCTGTTTGGAGAATGAATGTATAATGATTAGGATCTGTTCCTTTTCTACTTAAAAAAAGTTGAGGGGCACCTGGGTGGCTCAGTTGTTGGGCGTCTGCCCTCAGCTCAGGTCATGATCCTGGGGTCCTGGGATTGAGCCCTGCATCGGGCTCCCTGCTCCTCGGGAAGCCTGCTTCTCCCTCTCCCACTCGCCCTGCTTGTGTTCCTTCTCTCATACGTCTCTCTCTGTCAAATAAATAAATAAAATGTTTAAAAAAATATTTGCCTCCTGGAGAAGTAGAAGTCAATACTAGCGTGCTATTTAAATATTCCGTACAAACTCAGATGTATTTCTAAAGAAAAAAAAAGAAAACACCAGCAACAAAACAAAAAAGATCAAAGGAGACAACTAAAAAAAAAAAAAAAGCTGCCATCTAGGTGTTGTTCTTGCCACTTCGAGTTCCTGTTCAGTGTGGCCCTTGAATATTTGAAAAGCACGAATGTGAAGGTCTAGGGCCAGACATCGGGTCTCTTTCCCCAATATTGATCCCCTTGTACCTATTTATCCTTCCTTTTTCCTTCCGGTGAGGGAGCTAAATCCCATGTATAGCAGAATAGTGGGTCACTGTGTTATGGCAGGGATACGGATTCTTCCCAGACTTATTAAGAACCAGGGCCACTGGCTGTCTTTGGGTTTCCTAGACTCGAGAAGAAGACAGGAACCAGGATGGGAAAATGGACTTGTTACATTTTAAACTGGAACTTCCCCTGCAGTCCACGGAGCACGTTCTCGGTGTGCAGCTCATCTTGACTTTCTCCTACCAATTGCACGTGAGTCAGTTCCTTAGGGAAGCCCATCCCCTCCTTTTTATCCTTTCATAGAATTGAGCCCTCTGTCCGGTTTCCAGGAAAACCCACGCTGCAGAAGGCTCTCCTCTGAGGGGTAGTTTGGGATTTAATTGAGGCAAATCGCACATTTCTCATTGGGGCCGTAGTAATGTATGTGAGCTATTGGAGCTCAGGGGGTTCCGGGCAGAGAGCTTCCTTCATGGCCTCACCAGCTGTTTGAGGGACTAGGAGGCTGCCACCACAGACGGGGATGCCAAGGATCCAGAGCCTTCAGATGTACCTGAAATTGTCTCTCCTAATGATTTCAGAGGATGTCCACATTCGTGATGCAGAGCATGGCGTTTCTCCAGTCCTCCTTTGCTGTTCCAGGGTCCCAGTTGTATGTGAACGGGGACCTGAGGCTGCAGCAGAAGCAGCCTCTAAGCTGCGGTGGCCTCGATGTCCGATACAATGTAAGAAGGCTCCTCAGTGTCCGTCTCTTTTCTTTCTCTATGTGACTGTTTATCAGGTTCTTTAAAGAGGGAGACATGAGAGTTAGAAAAGGCATTTCTCTGTGGGTGGCACAGACGAGGATTTCTCAGCAGGAATTCTTTCAAAATATAGAGACAGATACACCTGTATTTGCATCTAAAAAGAGAACAAAAACCTGTCTTTAAGAACTAAATTATTTCTTGTTTGCGGGCGTGCATGTGTGCACACACGTGGCTTATTCCAAGTGGCCTTTTCCAGTTCGTGTAAATCACTGGGGAAGTCCTACTAACCGCCATTCGCTAAGCATATAACGTATGCCAGCCCTGGGTGAAGAGGTCGGACTATGTCATCTCGTTCAGCAGTCACAGCCACCTCACAAGATGCCTGCCCCTGTCATTTCCCAGCTCTCCAGCCGCCCGTCCTGTCATGGCCCCCCGTGCTCCTTTCTAGCCAAACCTGCCCTTTTGCTGTGCCTCAAACCCACAAAGCAGCTCCTGCCCCCGTTTTTGCCCTTGGCCTTTCACTCTGCCACATATCCGCATAGCTTGCTCTCCCACTCCATTCGGGCCCCTGTCCAAATGTCCCTGAGCACAGTCCTTCCATGACACCGCTTTCTTTTTTTTTTTTAAAGATTTTTTTTATTTATTTATTTGACAGAGAGAGAGACAGCGAGAGCAGGAACACAAGCAGAGGGAGTGGGAGAGGGAGAAGCAGGCTCCCCGCTGAGCAGGGAGCCTGATGCGGGACTCGATCCAGGGACTCCAGGATCATGACCTGAGCCGAAGGCAGTCGCTTAACCAACTGAGCCACCCAGGCACCCATGACACCGCTTTCTAAAGAGCATTCTCCCCCCTGCCCATCATCCCTCACCCAGACTGATTTTCTTTATTCCACTGGAAATAGTAAAGATAAGCTTTTGGCGTGTTCGCTTACTGTGTCCCCCAGTGCTAACAGCACTCACATCTCCACTGTCACCCCTAAAACAGGGCCTGGCGCATTGTAAGCACTCAGATTTCTTGAAAGCATGAACTCTCGATTTACACATAAGGAAACTGAGGCAGACAGAGGTTAATTAATTTTCCCAGAGTCCTGCCACTTGAAAGTAACAGAGCCATAAATCATCTGTCCAGGGCTGGAACTCATGCTTATGGTCACTCATTACTAATCCTTTATCACAAGGGAGCCCCTGTAAGTTGGGCCAGGCTACTTTCGCAAATGAAAGAGTGATCTTATCAGTTATTACAGGCATAAACCAGGACTGCCCCAGATAGACGGATTTATGGTCCCTCTACCTATAGTCAATATAAGGTTGTTTTTTTCTTAAGATTTTATTTATTTGACACAGAGAGAGAGAGCGAGAGCAGGAACACAAGCAGGGGGAATGGGAGATGGGGAAGCAGGCTTCCTGCCAAGCAGGGAGCCCGATGCGGAGTTCAATCCCAGGACCCCAGGATCATGACCTGAGCCGAAGGCAGACGCTTAACCAGCTGAGCCACCCAGGCGCCCCTCAGTATAAGTTTAAATAAAAAGGAGGGGGACTATAAGATAAAACCTTTTTACTTCAAGATTTATATATTGATTATATCAACAGGAATGTAATATTACAAGGCAGGAGATCGTTTCCTTCTTCAAAGGGTTATATACTTATTATTGGCACTTTATCCTATTTTCACCTCTAGATTAAAAAGAGATAAATTAGGGCGCCTGGGTGGCTCAGTTGGTTAAGCCACTGCCTTCAGCTCAGGTCATGATCCTGGAGTCCCAGGATCGAGTCCCGCATCGGGCTCCCTGCTCAGCAGGGAGCCTGCTTCGCCCTCTGACCCTCCCCCCTCTCATGCTCTCTCTATCTCATTCTCTCTCTCAAATAAATAAATAAAATCTTTAAAAAAAAAAGAGAGATAAATTACAGGGTGCCTGCCTGGCTCAGCCAGTTAAGCGTCTGCCTTCGGCTCAGGTCATGGACCCGGGGTCCTGGGATCGAGCCCTGCATCCGGCTCCCTGCTCAGTGGGGAGCCTGCTTCTCTCTCTCCCTCTGCTTCTCCCCCACCACTCGTGCTCTCTCTCTCTCTCTCTCTCTGCATTCTCTCTCTCAAATAAATAAACAAAATCTTAAAAAAAAGAGAGCTAAATTGCAGAGTGTCCAAGAAAGAGCAAGAAAAAGACAAAGGAGTTGAAAATATGGTCTCCTTAAAAAAAAATTAAAGGAATTATTGCTCCCCTTGGAATAGAGAGGGGTGTTTTGTAAGTAACTAAAACCTGTTAAAGGTGGATATTGACCCCTTTGCCATCCCTATAAAATGGGAGACTCGGGTGCCTGGGTGGCGCAGCCGGTTGAGCATCCAACTCTTGGTTTTGGCTCAGGTCGTGATCTCAGGGTCATGAGATCGAGCCCCATGTTGGACTCCACACTCAGCTCAGAGTCTGCTTGAGGTTCTCTGTCCCTCTCCCTCCGCCCCTCTCATGCTCGCTCACTTTTGCTCTCTGTCACTCTAAAGTAAATAAATCTTTTTTTTTTTTTTTCAAAGGGAAGACTGAATGTAGATGATTTAAATTGCAAGGCGGACAGGGGGCAGGGGTAGTCACCAGCCATCCATCCTTGAAAAACGGATTACTGATGCTGGAGTAGGTCACCAAGCACAAGAGGGTGGTCCCTGAGATCAGCCTGGTAGGCAAAAGGGTGGAAAGACGAGTGGAGAAGTGGCTGGGGGCTTACTCCACATCCTCCTGCCATTTCCCAGGTGTCTGTAATCAATGGGACCAGCCCTTTTGCCTATGACTACGACCTCACCCATGTTGTTGCTGCTTACCAGGAAAGGAATGGTGAGTGATAGGTACCGTTCATTCAGGCGCTTCTCAAGGACCTTCCAGGTTAGTGGGAATATTGGACAAAAACAGAATTGGAGCCCTTGGGACGGCTGGGTGGCTCAGTCAGTTAAGTGTCTGCCTTCGGCTCAGGTCCTGATCCTGGGGTCCTTGGACTGAGTCCCACATCGGGCTCCCTGCTCAGTGGGGAGCCTGCTTTCCCCCTGCTTGTGCTCTCTCTCTCTCTCTTTCTGACAAATAATTAAATAAAATCTTAAAAAAATAAAAAAAGAATCAGAGCCCTTGTCATGATGAAAATGTCAGTACCAGTGAATACTCAGTGATGGGAGGGGAACAGGCCGCCCCGATTTGTCCTTTTACTCCTGATCTAAAGACCCACACCCTGCCCCCCCCACCTTACCACTAGTCTTGTAGTCCAGCAGGTGAGTGCTGATTTATGTACCGTATTTATTTATTAAGTGCCATATTTATCCCACCACTGGCTTGATAGATTTCCTTTTTTTATATAAACGCCTAATTGAGTTGGTCCCCACTACCACACTTATAAAAGAAGCCAAAGACAAATTGCTATCCCTAGTTTTCAGATAGAATTAAGGAATGTGAGTGACTTTTACCCCATATAAGCAGTTGAGGTAGAACAGAGGGCCCAAGGTTCTGGCTAGAAGGCAGAGTGTGTCCATCCCTTAGCGAGGAATAGCTGTCAAACCAGCCCAATGGACTGGCACATTTGGCTGGTTGGTGGCCTGAGGTTTTCTCTAACGGCATCTGAAGCATTACTTGGCAGCCAGACATCATGGATACTATTCACACATATTTATCCAATAGGGGGACTGCAATTCCAGTATTTCTTCCTGATTTTTTATAACACACTGGTGGCATTATTCCAAAGCTAAAGGTCTTTTAAGACAAAAGCACTCATCTACAATTTTTCTTTCTTTATTCCTTCCAGTCTTTGTCCATAGCAGATTTTTTTTATATGGCTCTTATCATGGTTTAGAAACATTTTAGGATCCAATTTTTTTGTACTTTTTTTTTTTAAGATTTTATTTCTTTATTTGAGAGAGAGAGAGCGTGAGCATAAGCATGGGGAGCAGCAGAGGGAGAGGGAGAAGCAGGCCCCCTGGCGAGCAGAGAGCCTGACACAGAGCTCAATCCCAGGACCCTGAGATCATGACCTGAGCCGAAGGCAGATGCTTTTTTTTTTTTTTAAAGATTTTATTTATTTATTTGAGAGAGAGAGACAGAGATAGTGACAGACACAGCGAGAGAGAGCATGAGCAGGGAGGAGAGGGAGAAGCAGACTCCGCACTGAGCAGGGAGCCTGATGCGGGGCCCGATCCCAGGACCCTGAGACTATGACCTGAGCCGAAGGCAGACGCTTAACTGACTGAGCCACCCAGGTGCTCCCCGAAGGCAGATGCTTAACGGATTGAGCCACCCAGGCGCCCCTGTACTTCGTAATACAAATATTTCCCACACTGCTACAAAGTTTTAATTGGTATTATTTTTAGTGGTAGCATAGAATTCCTTCACTTAGCCATTTAACAATTGTAGAACATATAGACCATTCCAAGGTTTGTTTTGTTTGTTTTTTGTTTTTTTAAGATTTTATTTATTAGACAGAGACATCAAGAGAGGAAACACAAGTGGGGGAGTGGGAAAGGGAGAAGCAGGCTTCCCACTGAGCAGGGAGCTCGATGTGGGGCTCGATCTCAGGACCCTGGGATCATGACCCAAGCCAAAGGCAGACACTTAATGACTGAGCCACCCAGGCACCCCAAGTTTTGTTTTTCTTAAAGATTTATCTATTTATTAGAGCACGCGTGTGGGTGGAGGGGCAGAGGAAGAGAAATCCTTAAGCAGACTCCCTGCTGAATGCAGAGTCCACACAGGGATCCATCCCATGACCCTGAGATCATGACCCAGTAAGTTGGTGCTTACTGCTTAACCAACTGAGCCACCCAGGAGCCCTAACTGTTCCAAGTTTTTAACATAAATTTTTTTTAAAGTAGGCTCTACACCCAGAGTGGAGCCCAACACACAGCGCCTGAATTCACAACCCTGAGATCAAGGCCTGAGCTGAGATCAAGAGTCAGACGCTCAACTGACTGAGCCACTCAGGCACCTCTTAAACATAAATATTTTGACAAGTATTTTAACGAATAATTTGTGAGCAACTTTACACGTTCAGTTCTCTTTCCTTTTGAATCATCTCTTTGGAATAAGTTCTGACATGCAGAATTTGCCTGAGAGGTTAAAGAGTACTTTTATAGCCCTCATTAGTTTATTGAGAGAGCATTCATGGATTAACTCCTGCTTGTATTACAGTAACCACCATTCTGATGGACCCCCACCCCATCTGGCTGGTGGGAAGGGCAGCCGAAGCTCCATTTGTGATTAACGCTGTCATCCGATACCCGGTGGAAGTCATTTCATATCCTTTCTGTTAAAGAGCCACTGTAGCTCAGTTTTGAAGAAGGAGGGTTCCTCAGTTGTCCCAAGAAGGAACAGATGCAGGAGGCCTTCGACTGGGAATGGCTGAGTGTTGTGGCCCCACTCAAATGACCTAGTCTGCTGTTCATACAGGAAAAAAAAAAAACTCATTTCCTCTTCATATTTCTTTCTGGGCAATTCTTCCAGGTCAAAATCATCCATATTTATGCCTTAAAATCTTTTATCATCCCTTTTATCTCAAGAGTATTTGAAACATTTTTGCCATTTCCCTTCTAAACTAAACCTTTAACTTGCACTTAGAAAATACCATCTGTGACTCCTTAACTCTCTATACATATCTCCCAGGATTCTGGGAAATGATAAAGTTTGCCTGGATCCAGTATGTCAGTATCCTGCTTATCTTCCTGTGGGTGTTTGAAAGAATCAAAAGATTTGTGTTTCAAAATCAGGTGGTGACCACGATCCCTGTCACAGTCATGCCCCAGGGAGAAGTGTATAAGGAGCACTTATCATAAGAAGACCATTTCTGAGAACTAAGCAGGATCCTGGCTACCTCATTGTTGTCTTCTGAGAACTGCCATCTTAAGTTTTTGCCAAGAGCCTGTGGACACATGCCGGTGTGTGTACTTTTCCTACCAGAGACAAAGGACAATCCTTTCTCACTTTTCTCTACACAAATCCATATCTTCTAAGCACCTACAGACTCATCAGGGACTAGTTTGTGGAAACATCCAAGGGTTCCGGAAGACTATAATTTGCTTTTTTTTTTTTTTTTTTTGCCTTAGGCTTGAATTTCAGGAGAAAACTACAATCAGTTCAGACCTCTTGGAAAGAGTGCCATCTCTGGTCAAGCAAAGACTTTTCCTCTCTTGAACTGAGAAACACGCTCTGCATTTCTTCCCACTATTGTAAACCACATTTTACTCTTTTCAGGGCTCTCTTGTGAGAGATACGCAAATCAGTAGCACTTTCCACTCCTGAGCATCTAAATTTCCCATTCAGAACTTTGGTTTCCAGCACTGAGAGGCCTTGAAGGGGAGAATGGGAGCGAGAGAAGGGGAGCGCTCAAGAGCACATGCACGCACACGTGTGCGGGTGGGCGACTCCAGGGCATGAGCACCATCCACCTGCCCCTGGTCTAACAGACAGTCGTCTGTCATCAGCTCAGCTGAGCGGCCCTTATTCCCTGCCCTGCTGTGGCTGGCTTGTTGCCCTGCCTTTCGCCCTGTCTGTGGCCCCTGGAATAGCAGGCTTCAGCCACAGTGCTGTTTCGTTCACAATCCCCTCAGCAACAGTGGGGGAAGTAAGGATTGTAACCACAGTCTCTTTCTCTCTGGCCCTCCTCCAACAGCCGGGACACTTGCCACTCCTCGTCCTTGACAGCCCTCCCCCTTCTCGAAAAGGACGTGGGTGACAGAGGAGCTCTTGTTGGTATTCGCTGCCACCGCCAACAAGGACAGAGTTTATTTGGAGGGCCAGCGGGAAACCCAGCTACTTGTATTTCCCTTGATGAAGGAACAGGGTGCCGATCAGAGTGAGCGGCTTTGGGGAGGACACACAAGGTGCAGTGAGGGGATAAAGGGGATGCTCGCCTAGGCCACCTAATCTGGCCTGGCCATTAGCAGAATGACACGCAGTCCAGAAGGTTTATCCTCTTGCTTAAGTGAGCGTCTGCAGGATGGGACGGCTGAAATGGGCCTCTGTTGCACATGGAAGACTAGTTCTCCATTCTTGGCCTGAGGAGATGAGCTGTCCTCAAAGGACAAATGGATCTACTTTATGATCCCAAGATATCATTGGCACTGGAGACATGCTTGCTCTGATTCATGCATCATGCCCACCCACAAACACACTCCTCACTATATGCCTCAGTTTACCTTGGAGATGCAGTTCTCATTTCCAAAGCACCTTTTCTTTCAGGCTGACCAAAATAACAGCTCTTTTGAAGTAGTCAAGCACAAAAATAGCTTACCACTGGCCCCTCTGCCTTTTCTTTTAATATCTAGGGCTGTTTATATACCTAAACATTTTTTCTTGAGCTATAAATGAAAAAAAAACAAAACGGTCTCTGGTTTGAATCACGAGAAGGTAATGAGCTATGGAAAGATAGCTAAAGATGTGACTAAACACTGCTTCGCGTTTTGTTAAATTATTTTAATGCAAAATTTGTATAAAGAACCGTGATGTTTTGTACCTTTCTAATTAAAATATTCAAAATGGAAGGCTGCATGTGGATTTATCAAGGAGAAGAGTTTGGAAAAGGGGTGGGGAGGGCAGAGGTTGCGCACACTTCCCCGGGTTACTCACCAGCTGCCTTACCTTGGAGCTTTTGTTAGCTCTTTGGCAAAGTCCCCTGCTCCAGCCCCAAGTACATGTCTGTTTTCGGTGGAATCCACATGGCATGTGGAAACCACAGGCTGGAAAATTACAACTGTGTCTGGCAAATATCAAATTATTTACAGATCAGATGTTGGTAGCTTCTGAACCTGAATGGCACAGTGTAGTGGCAAGAGGGAAAAGGGTGAGAAATGCACAGGATTTTATCAACTGAGCTGTAAACTCATAGCTAAGTCAGGGTTTGAGACAATTATGCAATATTTGGGATGGGGGAGATCTCTAATTCTGTGAAATGATTATCCAGTTTCTGTGTGAATCAGGGCCCCTAAGACCCTGCTTAGGTCCCATCAACTAAAAAGCAATTCTCTGTCTTCTTTCTTTCTCCTCATATTCATGCTTTTTAGGTTTTTTTAAAAGATTTTTTATTTATTCATTTGAGAGAGCACAGAGGGAGGGGAGGGTCAGAGGGAGAGGGAGAAGTAGACTCCCCACTGAGCAGGGAGCCCACCCCAGGGCTCTACCCCAGGACCCCAGGATCATGACCTGAGCTGAAGGCAGACACTCAACTGATTGAACCACCTAGGCGCCCCATCATGTTCATGCTCTTTAAGATGTCTTGTTCTTTCTGACCAGATAAATTCTAAATGCCTATTGAGGAAAATATATAAATACTGTAACCTAAAGAAAATAAGTTGTCCTTAAATGTCCTATTGGCATTCTGGTACAAGTCTTTCTTAGTCTTTTGTACTGTTTCTAATTTTTTCACTATCATAAACAACACTTTTATGAACTTTGTGTATAAATCCTTATTGCTGGAGCACCTGGGTGGCTCAGTCGTTAAGCATCTGCCTTCGGCTGAGGTCATGATCCCAGAGTCCTGGGATCGAGCCCCGCATTGTGCTCCCTGCTCAGCGGGAAGCCTGCTTCTCCCTCTCCCACTCCCCCTGCTTGTGTTCCCTCTCTCGCTGTGTCCCTCTGTCAAATAAATAAATAAAATATTTTAAAAAAACAAATCCTTGGGCGCCTGGGTGACTCAGTTGGTTGAGCGACTGCCTTCGGCTCAGGTCATGATCCTGGAGTCCCGGGATCGAGTCCGGCATCGGGCTCCCTGCTCGGCGAGGAGTCTGCTTCTCCCTCTGACCCTGCCCCCTCTCATGCTTTCTCTCTCTATCTCATTCTCTCTCTCAGATAAATAAAATCTTAAAAAAAAAAATCCTTATTGCCAGTTATTTCCTTAAGATACATCCTAGAGGGGCACCCGGGTGGCTCAGTCAGTTAAGCATCTTACTCTTGATCTCAGCTCAGGTCTTGTTCTCAGGGTCTTGATCTCCCGGTGGTAAGTTCAAGACCTGTGTTCGACTCCATGCTGGGTGTGGAGCCTACTTAAAATCAATCAACCAACCAACCAATCAATCAATCCTAGAAAGGAATTGCTAATTCAAAAAGCTTATGGCTGGGGCGCCTGGGTGGCTTAGTTGGTTGAGCGACTGCCTTCGGCTCAGGTCATGATGCTGGACTCCAGGGATCGAGTCCCGCATCGGGCTACCTGCTCGGTGGGGAGTCTGCTTCTCCCTCTCCCGCTCCTCCCTCTTGTGCTCTCTCTCTCTCTCAAATAAATAAATAAAATCTTAAAAAAAAAAAAAAAGCTTATGGCTGTTCTTAAGGATTTAAATTCATCTTGCCAAACCGCATCCTGGAAAGAATGCACTAATTTATACTCCCAGAAGCAGAGACTTCTTTTAGATCCCACCACGGATTACAAGAGATCAGAATTCTCTTTTTTTCAGATACCTGCACTCTGTTGTTATCTGGGTGGGGGAGGGGGGCGGACTGCTTTACTTACCGAAACATACCCTGTATTTATCCGGACCTGCTATCAAGCCTGGGCCTCTGGATTGAGGCTAGAACAGGGAGGGGGACAGCCTGCTCTGGGCCCAGCCCCTGAGTGTTTGGGCTCCTGGTGTCTCGCGCCCCCCCCGCCCCCAGCTCGGCTACTGCTTGGGGAGGCCGCGCCGTGTGTCCGCCTGGCATCAACATGCCTTGCATTCGGCTTGGGTCTGAGGCTGGCGGCTTGGCAAGCGGCTTGGATTCCAAGTCACTCCGCTGTGAGGATGCCACCGAGAGCGAGGAGGGGCAATGTTAAGATTCGATTTCCCTCGCAAGGGCCTTTAGTGCTCCCGGGAGGCTTCCTTCTCTGGGAACCGAGCGGGAGGCAACTTTTTTGGTCAATTAGTCGGAGGAGAGGTGAGTGCGAGCGCCCTCCGACAGCCTCCCGCGGCCCCCGGGCCCAAGTGGGCCCGCCCCCACCCGGTCCTCCCGTGCCCGCCCCTGGGCGGCCGCCCCTCCCCCGAGGTGGGGAGGGTAGCGAGAGCCGGGGGCCAAGCGGCTCCTTCCTTCCGTCCTTCCCGCCCCGGCCCCCGCCCGCCGGCTCCGGGACCGCAGCCACGTCTGAAAGCGCCTCATTGTGTGCGCTCTTCCCCGGCCCGCGGCGCGCGGAGCAGCGGCTCGGGCAGCGCAGGGCTCGCGCGCTCGGGCGCAGGGGCGCGGGGGCGCGGGGGCGCGGCGCCCGGCCGGGTGAGGCTACGGGGCAGGAGTGCCCGAGTCTGTGTCTGGCCGTTGCCCCACGACTGCGCCCCGCACACATACATCCCGTTCTCAAGACGCCTCTCCTTTTCCAGGACACTCCTGCCCCGTTTCCAGGTTCCCTCCGCCTTAGGTCTCCAGGTGCCTCCAACTATCTTGGGATCTGCGGATCCGCGCGTGCCTCTCAGAGCCTTCTCCCCGGTGTCACTGGGTGCCCCTTACTAGCCTTGGGAGCCTACGGAGCACGTCAGCCCCTGCGGACTCTCCCAGCGAAGACACGGCAGGCTGCGGACTGGAACTTGGAAGAGGACACCTCTTCGAGGAGCCTCTGCTGAGCCTCGGGAGAGTGGTGTCCGCCTCCCCGCCGCGCCAGCTTGGGCAGGGACGCCAGCTTTGGGGTACGTTCGTTGGTCCTCTCTCCGCACAGGATGCCCCCAGTCAGGGACATGGAGCTTGTGGCCGGGGAGTCGGGTCTGGGGAGAAGGGCTGAGGGTGGTGGTTCTACCAGCCCAGGGAAAGGACCTTGTAGCCCCAGGCGCTGGTTCGAAAGTGTCTTCCTGCGGCTTCAGCTCACACGGGATCACTGCTGGGGATCCCTAAACCCTTGAAACGTGAGATTCCAAGGGCATGGTATTAATCTAGAAAGCTTTCCGCCGCGGAACTCTTGAGGAAAAGCAGCTTGGTGAGTGAATTTAGAACCATGTGCAGCTGAAGGGGAGTCTGGCGGCCCCTGTTTCGGCTGCTGGATCTTGGGCAATAATAAAGACCTCCCTTGGCCTCAGCATAGGTGCCCCGGTACAAATTAACCCTCTTTTCTGCCCCCCTCTTGAACCGGAGGCATGAGGGTGGGAAAACTGAGGCCTAAAGAGCCGAAAGGACTTGGCTGCCCTGGGGCCAAGAGGGAGTGAGTGTGCCAAGTGAGCTAATGGGAGGAGTGTGTGTGGCTCCTTGCGCGTTGGCTGTGCTAAGGGTTATATGGTCCAGGGTGCTCCTCTCGAGCCCGTGTGGTAGGCGCTGTGATTGCCTCCTTTACAAAGCAGCCAGCTGAAGCACCAAGACGTTAGGGGCGCCTTGCGCACACTCACACACCTCACTGGTGTCCAGGCAGAATTTGAACCCAGGCCGGCTTCAGAAGCCAGTCTTCCAGGCATGTTTCCCTGCTGCTTTGCGTGACCGTGTTCTGCCCCGGCCTGGACTTGCCACATTCCATTGCTAGGGTGCAAGGTCACCTGAACCGGTCGCCCCTGTTGTGCTTGAGTGTTCCTTATGAAGAGGCTTTCGCTTGGATCCATAGCATATAGTTGTAACCCAGGATTTGGAGGATTTCTGAACGCGTACAAATGTGCTAAATGACATTGTTCTAAGTGCTTTAGCAATAGTAACTCATTGAATCTTCAAATCAGCCCTGACTTGCGTTATATTACTTCCCCTGTTTTATTTTTATTTATTTATTTATTTATTTATATATCTATTTTTAAAAGATTTTATTTATTTATTTGACAGAGAGAGAGAGACAGCGAGAGAGGGAACACAAGCAGGGGGGAGTGGGAGAGGGAGAAGCAGGCTCCCCGGTGAGCGGGGAGCCCACTGCAGGGCTCGATCCCAGGACCCTGGAATCATGACCTGAGCCGAAGGCAGACACTTAACGACTGAGCCACCCAGGTGCCCCTTATTTTCATTTTTTTAAGGTAAGCTCTAGGCCCACCCTGGGGCTTGCTGAGATCAAGAGTCGCCTGTTCCAAGGGCGGAGCCAGCCAGGCGAATTTCCCCCATTTTATAGATTAAACAACAATAGGCACAGAGAGGTTAAATAACTTGCCCAAGATCACACAGTAAATGATCAAATGGGGTTTATTAGCCACTGTGCCATCCCTACTCCCTGTCATGAGACAGAATCCTGCTTCTAGGAGCGTCTGGGTGGCTCAGTTGGTTAATTGGCTGCCTTTGGCTGGGGTCATGATCCCAGGGTCCTGGGATTGAGCCCCACATTGGGCTCCTTGTTCAGCAGGGACCCTGCTCCTGCTCCTTCTGCTGTTTCCCCCACTTGTGCTTGCTGGCTCTCTCTCTGTCAAATAAATAAATAAATAAATAAATAAAATCTTTTTTAAAAAATCCTGCTTCTAGGGGCGCCTGGGTGGCTCAGATGGTTAAGCGTCTGCCTTCGGCTCAAGTCATGATCCCAGGGTCCTGGGATCGAGTCCCACATCGGGCTCCCGGCTCAGCGGGGAGCCTGCTTCTCCCTCTGACCCTCTCCCCTCACATGCTGTTTCTCTCTTGCTCGCTCTCTAAAAAATAAATAAAATCTTTAAAAAAAAAAAATCCTGCTTCTAGTCTAATAAGGGGAGATAGGTACAGAAATGCATGAAAAAGAGTATTCCCCATGGTGATAGTCACATTGACAATGATTTCTCAATACCACCTAATACCCATTCCATGTTGAAATTTCTGATTGCCTCAAAGATATCTTCTTGCACTTGGTTTGCTTGAATCAGAATCCAAACAACATCTATACGCTGTATCTCTCTGTTACATGTTTTGAGTCATTTTCTTCTAAAACACTCCCTTTTTTAAATGTCACTGAATTCTAAGAATGATTTACTTTTCAAAAATAATAAATTAATCTAGGGGCTCCTGGGTGGCTCAGCCGTTAAGTGTCTGCTCTTGGCTCAGGTCATGATCCCAGGGTCTTGGGATGGAGCCCTGCATCGGGCTCCCTGCTCTGCAGGAAGCCTGCTTCTCCCTCTCCCACTCCCCCCGCTTGTGTTCCCTCTCTCACTGTGTCTCTCTCTCTGTTGAATAAATAAATAAAATCTTAAAAAAATAATAATAAATTAATCAAAATAAAAGAAAAATAAACCAGAGAACATTCCAGATTATCCCTATAATAAGAGTGCTCAATCTAACACCTGGGGGAACACGGGGTACATGCTAAATGTGCACTCCCTTCCCCCATTCCCTGCATGTGTTACTTCAGAAAAGAGGTGGGAGCCCCCAGACTTCAGGTCTTGCTAGCTGTAAGGTTCTATGATCGGGTCCTGTGCAAAGTGCATTTTGAGGATCCCCGAAGTTCAGAGCGAGGTAAAGGTGTTCTGTGTTAACTGGTCATTTGCTTTGAAATGCCCCCAGGGTAGCTCTGAGCCAAGGAGACTTGAGCAGTTTGATTTCATTTCCCAATAGATTCCTGCAGGCCAGAAGCATCTGGGCTGTGTGACCCCAGCTTCCCTGCCTCTGGCAGATGCCATGAAGCTGCTCATTAGGACTGGCAGAGAGATAGCAGATGTGGCAGGGCTTGGGGCTGGGAATGTCTTCTGCCACAGCCTGGCCCAGCCCACAGCCCTGAGGCTGAAGGTGGGCTTGGGGATCTTGACATCTTCCAGTGCATAGGAGGTAATTCTCCAGCCAATGCCCCTGTCCTGTTCTGGCCAAGTGGTATTCAGGTCAGCTGGGAGATGGGTTTGCAGGCACTTCTCTTCCCGCAATGAAAGCTGGAGCAGGCAAATTCCACCTGTGCCTCCTGTCCCCATTTTATGATTACCAAAGTAATGGGAGTCTATCGTAGACTACCTGGAAAATGCAGCAAAGCACTAACAAGAAAAAAAATTACCTGTAACATGGCCATAGAAAGATAACCTCTAATATTCAGGGGCACATGGGTGGTTCAGCTGGTTAAGCATCTGCCTTCGGCTCAGGTCATGATCCTGGGATCCTGGATCCAGCCCAGAGTCAGGCTCCCTGCCCAGCAGGAAGTCTGCTTCTCCCTCTGCCCCTCCTGCCTGCCACTCCCCCTGCTTGTGCTTTCTCTCTCAAATAAATAAATAAAATCTTTTTTTTTAAGATAACTAATATTCAGTATGCATCCTTCCAGATTTCTTCTATATGTTTTTGTGGGTTTTTTTTTTTTAAGATTTTATTTATTTGAGAGAGACAGGAAAAGTGAGAGAGAGCATGAATCGGGGCAGAGGGAGAGGGAGAAGCAGACTCCCCACTGAGCAGGGAGCCCGATGTGGGACTCATTCCAAAGACCCTGAGATCATGACCTGAGCTGAAGGCAGATGCTTAACTGACTGAGCCACCCAGGCGCCCCTGTGTATTATTTTTATAATAGCTTTATTGAGATACAATTCACAAACCTTAAGGTGCACCCTTTTAAAGTGTACAATTCACTAATTTACAGTGTAGTCAAAGTAGTGTGTTAATCACCTCAGGGGTCATCCATGTTATAGCACATATCAATACTTCATTCCTTTTTATTGCCAGATAATATTGAATTCGAGTTGATCCTTGAACAACATAGGTTTAAACTGTGTGGGTCCAGCTATATGCAAATTTTTTCAATAAATACAGTACATCACTGTAAGTGTATTTTCTCTTCCTTATGATTTTCTTTTCTCTAGCTTACTTTAATACCCCATAATATACAAAATATGTGTTAATTGACTGTTAATGTCAAGGTCAGTGGTAGGTTATTAGTAGCTAGATTTTCCAGGAGTCAAAAGTTATACGTGGATTTTTGACCATGTGAAGGTCGATTCCCCAACTTCCGCATTGCTCAAGGGTCAACTGTATATGGATATACCACATTTTGTTTATCCATTCATCAATTGATAGACATTTGGGTATTTCCACTCTGAGGCCATTATGAATAATGCTGCTATGAAAGTTTATGAACAAGTCTTTTGGTGGACATGTGTTTTCAGTCTTCTTAGGTATGTCTTTATTCTACGTTTTTAAAGATTTTATTTATTTGAGACAGTGAGTACAGGTGTACAGACGTGTGAGGGAGGAGCGGCAGAGGGAGAGGGAGAAGCGGGCTCCCTGCTCAGCCCCAGGACCCTGAGATCATGACCTGAGCAGAAGGCAGACGCTTAACCGACTGAGCCACCAGACGCCCCTTGGATATGTATTTTAGATGGCATTGCTGCAACCCTATGTTTAACCTTTTGAGGAACTACCTGTTTTCTGCAGCAGCAGCACCGCTTTCCATCCCCCACAGCAGTGTACGAGGGTTCTGATTTCCCCACCTTCTCATTAATACTGGTTATTATCTACCTTTTTGATTATAACCATCCTAGTTGATGGGACGTCCTCTCTCATTCTAGTTTTGATTGGCATTTCCCTAATGACTAAAATTGGCAAGCATCGTTTCATGCACGTATAGGCAATTTGTATATCTTTGGGAAAATGTCTACTCAAAGCTTTTGCCCATTTTTAACTTGGGTTGTTTGTCTTCTATTACTGAATTGTAAGAGCTCTTTATATATTCTGGGTCCCTTGCTATACATATGATTTGCAAGTATTTTCTCCCACCTGGGGGTGTCCTTTCACCTTCTTGATGATGTCCTTTGATATTTGTGTGTTGTTTTTTTTTTTATATTTGGGCTTTTGTTTTTTTTTAAGA